TGTACAATATATGCATGTATTGAAACAACACACTGTACCCCACAAATATGTACAATTAAAAAGAAAAAAAAAGAAAACCTTGGGCAGATCATCAAAATCCTACCTCCTCACACTGGCCTGCCAGGCTCTATGGGATGTGGGCCTGGTTTCTTATGGCCAACCCTCCTTCCCTCTCTCCCTGGCTCCTCTCCACTCTAGAACTCATACTTAGCCTTTGCTCAGCCGTCTCCTTTGTCTAGAACACTTCTCTTCTCTGCCAACTTCAACTTCCCCAGGGCTGCACCATTGTGTGTGCACCCCCATGTTACCCAATATCCCATAGGCTCTCAGGAATAAATGCAGGTCGCTTGTGTGATGGAGAGATCGAATGGAGATTTTTGGTGCAGCATTTTCAAGGAGGTCCTTGTACAAGACATAGACCAAGAGATTATTTTCCAAGTCCCTCCAGAGTCTCTATGATGAAAACCTCCATAAAATCCAGTTCCTGCCATGGTCTCTTCCTCATACCTCACTCTATCTTTGATGTCAATGATAAAGAGTTAAGCTGCCCCCAAACTATAGATTGCATAGAGAACCCCATTTGTATCCACTGTACCTTCCACAGTATTAAGCTTATGGGAAAACTATGAAAATGTTCTGGCTGTTTGAGACTACCTCATTCTGTGGTAATCATTTCACAACGTACAACATATATGAAAACATCACGTCATGATAACACCAAGGTCAAAGGTTCAGATCCTCATACAGGCCAGCCACAAAACAAACAAGCAAAACCATCACGTTGAACACCTTGAATTTGTATCACCTCAAATTCATAAATAAATGTTTATTAACCATACTTCAATAAAGCTGAAAATAAATAAGTAAATGAAAACGTTCTGGCTTTTTTACACCTTTATACTTGGATTTTAAGTACAATTGTGAGAAGGCACAAAACTCTTTATATTGCTTATGTTAAATAAAAATTATAGGAGACCATTGTTTTGGACTAAGTTTCTGCACTAGACCCCAGCAGACCAGACTAAAAATCAAAATGGAGCCACTACGCTAAAAGTTCCACATCGCCAAACCCAAACTAAGTTGTTGTCTGGCATTATGAGAAATCAGGAGAGACAGAAAGAGCCAGTTGCTCAAACAGGCCAGTTTAAATCTTCAATAGGCATGATAATGAAGTACCCTCTGTTTTAATCCTTACGCAAAAGAAGTAATCTGATGTTAAATAATCAGTTATTTTTCAATTGTTCTGTCTCCCTATCCCCACCTTATAAGGAAAGTAACTTTGAAATGACCAATCTGCTTTTCGTTCTCTGCTTCCTTCAGTCCTTTTTCTATCAACATCTTTTGCTCAGCTTGTTGGAACACCTATTCTATTTTATGGAATGAAGTGTTGCCTAGTTGTAGAATCTCAATAAAGCCAATCGAGATCTTTAAATTTGTTGTAATTTTGTCCTTTGACACTTAATAATATAAGATACATAAAAGTGAAGTTTGGGGCCGGCCTGTGGCTCACTCGGGAGAGTGCGGTGCTGATAACACCAAGGCCACGGGTTCGGATCCGTATATAGGGATGGCCGGTTTGCTCACTGGCTGAGCGTGGTGCTGACAACCCCAAGACAAGGGTTAAGATCCCCTTACCGGTCATCTTTAAAAAAAAAAAAAGTGAAGTTTGTGTTAAGATAGTAATTAGTAATTAGTGAGTGCCAGGAAATGCTGGACTTTAACTTTGCCAGTGGCTATGATGATACAGATGAATGGAGTGAAGTCCAGAGAGAGAAGAAACCTTGCCCAAAGTCACACAGCTCCTGTGTGTCAGACTCCTGCTCCAGGAACCACATTTCAGTGCACGAATGGGTTCTGAATGGATTCCCACTCCTGATTCACTTTTAACATTCAATCCAGAAGAAAGGCTGCACCTACCAACCCTAGGGAGAGTGTAAACACTGTATCTGCTGGTTTGAAAACAACAGTGCTCAGTGTGGGGAGGATTCACTGTGAAGCTGATCAAATACCATCTGTAACCCTGGCATCTTTCTTCTGAGCATCCTAAATGTTTGCAGATTATTCAGCTCACAGCCTAGCCCCAACCAACCAGAAGGCCCAACGAAGGCAGAGATGAGGAATAGAAGCAGCAGGGGAGCTTGGACAGAGGAAGGGGCAGACCAAGAGAGGAAGCCCCAGAAAGGTTTATGCATCTATACTCCCTATTTCCCCAGCATCTTCTTCACTGCCCTTGTTACCTCCCTGTTCCTCAGGCTGTAAATGAATGGGTTGAGCATTGGGGTGAGGATAGTGTAGAAGATGGAGGTGGCCCGGTCTCCTGCTGGTGTCCTAGCTGAGGCCCGCTGCATGTAGCTAAACATGGCTCCCCCATAGTAGAGGCCAACCACAGCCAGGTGTGAGGAGCAAGTGGTCAGAGCCTTCTGTTTCCCGTCGGTGGAGGGCATCTTAATCACAGCTGTGAGGACCTGGGTGTAGGAAGCCACAATGACCCCAAGGGGCAGCAGCAGCATGACTGCACAGCATGCATAGATGAGGTCCTCGAAGAGTGAGGTGTCGGCACAAGAGAGACGCAGCAGGGCAGGGACCTCACAGAAGAAGTGGTCCACCTTGAGAGAGCCACAGTAAGGAAAGCTGAGGACTACGCCCACGTCGACCACACTGTCGGCCACTCCACCCATCCAGGATGCCACTACCAGGAGAGAGCAGACCTTCCAGTTCATGAGTGCAGGGTACCGCAGGGGGTGGCAGACCGCCAAGTACCGGTCATAGGCCATGACTGCCAGCAGGAAGCACTCGGCTCCTCCGACCATGACCACCAGGAAGATCTGAGCAGCACAGCCTCCCCTAGAGATGGACTTCCGGCCTGACAGGAAGTTGGCCGCCATCTTGGGCACCACTGTGCCTGTCAAGGTCAGGTCCATGACAGAGAGCTGGCTGAGGAAGAAGTACATAGGGGTGTGCAGGCGCCTGTCGGCCCGGATGAGCAGGAGGAGGAGGATGTTGCCGACCAGCGTGGCAGTGGAGGCCCCAAGGACCAGGGAAAAGAGGAACAGGTCACATGCTGAGTGGCTGAACAGGTCCGAAAGGATGAAGTCAGATGGGGAGGTGCGGTTCCAGAGCTCCATGGCTGTGACACTGAGAAACAAACCGAAGAGCAAACAACTAAACAAAACTATTTACCTGGCATCTCCATCGCTCGAGGAAATAAACCTGTTTCTTTTCGAGGACGGAGCCCAGATCTTTGACACAACCCCACCCTTTCCCCCTGCAGTGAAAATCTATTTTCTCTCAGCCAGCTTGAGAAAATCTATTTTCTCTCAGCCAGCTTGGTACCCCGGGGGGCGGGGGTACCAAGAAAAATTTGATCCTTATTTTTCTGGAAAGGGGAGGGAGAGATTAGAGAGTGCAGGGAGAGATTAGAGTGGTGAATAAGCGGCAGGTGAATAGCTGTAGATTTAGGGAAAGGAGGCATAGGTTTAAAGGGAGGGAAAGTGAAGTACTGGAGGATAAGAGACCCCATGGAAAGAAAAGAGAGAGGGGTGGCAAATGTAAGGGCAAATAACAAATTAAAAATGAGAAGCTTAGGGCCGGCCCATGGCTCACTCGG